GTCTCTTGGCATGCAGGTCGGCCTGCATGTGCTGCCTCCCGCCTTTTATGCTTCTGCTGTGCTCGCTCCAGGGGTCATGGCTCGCCGATGCGAGCGTGCCAGCGAGTATCATGCGCAAGGGCAGCTTATCCAACTTGCCGCGGTGGAGGCGCAAACCGCGGACGCCGTGTTCTACTTGCGGCATTTGATTTTGCTCCCCTGGCTTCGGCTGGGGCAGCGGGGGCCCCTGGCGGGCTTGATTGCGACTCGGCTTCGTTAAGCCCATTCCCGCGCCTCCGCATTCATGCTTAGCGCCGCTGCACCAGGCAGCCTTCTTGGTGGACTTGCCTCTTCTTCCTACGCCGCTCCCGGTCTTCCAGCCTGTCCGCTTGCCTGCGCTGCAACTTCTCCCTGGAGTTGTGTTGCTGCCGCCGAACCCATTGCCGCATGAGCTGCTCGTCTTGTGGGCTGAGGCACGAGCCGAGGGGCGACGGGTTTTGCTTTTGCTGCTTCTTTTTGCTGTCCGCTTGCGCTCTTCGCCAGGTGCGTGACGCCCGTTGCGCCAACGCTGCTTTGCGTAGCCGTCTCCTGGAGCGCTGGCGTCGTGTTGCCTTCCTGGAGAATGTGGCTGGTGGGTTGCTGTGGGAGCTTGGTGCCCTTCGTTGAGGTTCTTCCACTTTTTGGCCTACCTGTCTACTTCGACTGACGCTGCTGTGGACCAGAAAAGAGTCTGCCATTCTGTAGAGAGTGTGCTTGCCGTGTCGCACGTCGTTGCAGATGTGCAGCCAGCTCAGCCTTGCGGTGCCTGCTGCTGCATGCTTCCTTGGCAGTGTTTCGGTTCGAACGACGTCGTTGTCTTTGCGGCAGAAGGCCGCTCTCCTGGACACAGCCGGGGCCTTGTCTTTCGAACACGTCCTCATTACGACGTCTGTCGCGCTCTCGCCCACGGCTACGAGGCCCCGTTCCTGCTGCGCCTGCTGACGTAGCATCCCCGGCTACGCTGAGATCTCCATCAGCGCGATTGCGGCGGACTGCTTCCAGTCCATGCTTTTCCCCTGCGCGCGGAGAAAAATTGCATGCTGCACTGGCTTCAGAGCTTGCCCCGGGCCTCTGCCTTTTCGAAGCTGCGTGTTTGAAGGGGCTGGCGCGCCTGCGTCGGCATGTGCCATGTGCGCACCTCTCCTGTTGCAGCATTTAGCTCCGAGTCCGCAACCCGTCCTCGCTTGCATCTTGGTCTCTTCTTGTGTATGGAGCCTGCCTCTCCTCCGCCTCGCAAACGGGCGCGTCGCACCGCATTGCAGCGCGCGGCAGCTGGTTCGATGGACATCCGGGACTGCTTTCGCGCGACTGCTGCCGCTGCCGCTGCCGACAGCCGCTGCCCAGAATCCACCTCGGCGGAAGCTCTCTCCGTGCCCCAGATGTGCGTTCTCACGACTTGGACTTTGGCGGCAGCCCAGGCCACTCGCGAGGCTTGGGCCCGCTTCCAAGCGTCGGAGGGCCAGCTGCTGTTTGAGGCGAACTTGCAGCTCCTGCCCCGCGACTTCGCTGTCGCCTTCGACGTCTGTGTGACGGTAGACGACGAAGGTCGTCGCACGATCGCGGACGTGCAGAAGGCCGTTCTGGCCGCGCTGGATCTGGCGCTGAGCTGGTGGCGTGTGCAGGAGGCGCTGCATTCGCAGTTGGAGTGTGC